ATAAGCTGTTATACAACTATGGAATTATTCCAGAGAAGTATCTTAAAGTGAATATAATTGATTATCCAAAGTAGTTTATTCTTGAAACATCTGCTGATAGATATTATTCTCTTGCCAATATTTCCTTTTAGATTTAGTCTTTAGGTTTGCATTTTTGTAATTGTGAACCACTGTTACAGGAGATACATATATGTTACCAATTTTTAGTTTGTGTTCGATTAATTTTATTAGAACTGCCTTTAGAATAGTTTTGCTTACATCCTTAATTTTAATTATAGAGAAACATTAGGAGGCTGAAGATAATTGTGTTCTGGTGACATTTATATAGGAGCAGAATGTTTTTTCTCGCCCTCTCTCCCTCCTCCCTCTTCCCCTCTCTCTTCCCCTCCACCTTTATCTTCTCTTCACCCTCCTCCCATTCCCTCTCCCCCTTGTTTCCGAAGAAAGAGGAGCCAGTCGTCATGTTTCGGTGAAGAATTTATAGACTGTGCAGATACTCTCCTCAAAACAGTCTGGGGCAGAGTCTTGACATTTCCTCAGTGGACTTAATGTAAATTAGGTAGCAGAGTGGTGAGTTCCTGGTTACCATAAAATGTGCCATTGTGTTAGTAATGTCCAAATAATATTTCAGGTTTTGAGTGTTTGGTATAAGCCAAAGTGCAGCTGATACCTCCTGTAAAGAAAAATGTTTTCTGAGAGTAGGATAGCTTCTTGAGGAAAGGGAGACTCCTATCTTTTACTCAATAATTTATAAGAAGGCAACTACATTACGCTTCCATAGGACAACTCTTAGGGCTGTTTTCCATCTAGTCCTATGCCTCACACTGTCTGCATTTGCACTTATGTGTCAGAATTGTAATCAGTAGCACAATATTTATTGTAAGCTATGAATAAAGAGTTTAAACATCCTATGAGTGATGGTAAGTCTGTATTTAGGAAAGATTTCCAAATTTTCTGAATTTAAAGAACAAACTTTTATTATATGACAAGCTTATCCAGAGCGTTTTGCTATTCCTCGCTCTTTCCCTTGCCTTCCCTCTTTCAGGTGGTAGCAGGTAAAGAATGCATGAGCATTTATTTTCTTTGATTAAACTTCCAGGAAAAGTATCTGAGCTTTTGATTCCCTCCCCCCCCAAAGCAGTTATTAGAGATAAAGTTTTATATGTTATCTCTGTGAGTTTATTAGCTTATCTCTAATGAAAACTTAAATCTTCTAGTAATAATAAATACTAACCTTATTCTAAGTGACACCAAGAAGATGGAATTTTCTTGTTTCTTAGAGGAATGAATTTTTATGTCCTATCACACATTTCATCAGGTTATTTTTTCTAGTTGACTTACTAAATTTCCCCACATAGTAACCTAATGAAATTTCATTATTTTCTCTTTACTTACAACAAAATAAGCTATAATTATCCTCTTTTTCAGCTTTTTAAAAGCTCTTAGGCCCTGCCTGGGTAGCTCAGTTTGTTAGAGCATCGTTCAGGTACACCAAGGTTGCAGGTTCTATCCCTGGTCGGGGGATATAGAAGAATCAACCAGTGAATGAATAAATAAGTGGAACAACAGATGGATGTTTCTGTCTGTCTCTTTCTCCCCCTTCCTCTCTCTCTAAAATGAATAATAAAATAATTTAGAAAAATTCTTAATATAACATTTTTATTTTTTCTAACATCTTAATTCTCCTGGGCTAAACTGAGTTCTTCTCATACACAGTATGTAAGCCTTGTTATCCAATCTAAATATTCATAAAATTGTAAGATTTTTATGCCTTGAAGGACCTTAGTTATTATTTAATTCAGTCCTATTATAATATAAATGATAAAACATCTGCAAAATCAGTTTGTTCTGGGTTGTTTAATCTCTCTGTATAATAACTCAAAACTATATTGCTAAACTCAAGATGGATGTTTCTCTCTCTCAAATCAATAAACATATCCTCAGGTGAGGATTAAAAAAATTTTTTTTTAAGAATCAAATTCACATTTAGGCTCAGATGCAGGTTTTGAACAAAATAATTATTGTGTACTGGGACTGTTTATCCTTAATAGAATCTATCTGGGAAAGTTGTAGTGCCAGGGATATATGTAAAATATTTGGCACGTAGCTTAATATACAATAACTGTTACATGTTTTCATTGTAATGGCCATTCCTAAGAGCCATATTTCTTCCTTTGTTGAATTACTTTCCTGTAATAATCTTTTTGTGATCATTCTGAAGTGTAGCTTTCCAAGCTACAAGCAAACACTACTTGTTAAAATATCTACATTATTTCTGAGTTTAGAAGTGCCAGTGAAAAGGTTACTGAAGTAGAAAATTACTTTTTTAACTGAGAAATATAGATTGTGAATTAATCTTAGAGAAGATGATCTGTGAGTATTGATGCACAGAATATGAACGAAGTATTACATATTTTGTGTTGTGGTATCTAGCTGGTATTCTGGTCTAGTAGTATTCTAGGTTTGAAAGATATATATAACCTGTACTTTTAAGTCTCTGTTTTGTAAAAGCTTAATCACATACAGAGATTTACGTAAAACAGCTCAGGTTTAAAAACTAGTTTATTAAAAATATATCAGGCAAACATAAATTTCAAAAGCAGATGACAGGATATCAGTATCAGAGTACATTTACAGCCAAAATGTATAAAACTGGATCAAGAATGCCATTTTATATTAAACACTGGATGAATTCCACCATGAAGACTTAGAAGTTAAAAACTCTTATGTGTTAAACATAACATCAAAATATATTAAGCAAAAGCTAGAAGAAATGAATCAGAAATTGATAGAAAAGCAACTGTGGCCCTGGTCTGTATGGCTCAGTTGGTTGGAGTGTCATAACACCAAAAGGTGGCAGATTCAATTCCCGGTCAGGGCGCACTTGGGAGACCAACCTATCAATCGATGTTTCTCTCTCACATTGATGTTTGTGTGTGTGTATGTGTCTGCCTACCTGTCTCCCTTCTTCCCTCCCTCCCTCTGAGATGAATTTTTTGAAAAGCAACTATAGTAGCAGTCTTCAGTATACTTTAAGATCAAGAGGTACAAAATAAGATATAAATATCTTGATTAATATAGTACAAAAATAACCCATAAAATGCATTTTTGTTATTCTTAACAGTTACCAAGATTAATAATTCATTATGCCAGCTACAAAGAAAATCTCACCTCCAAGTGGAAATATATAAATCCCATTCCTTGATTACAGTTCAATAGAATTAGAGGTTTTTAAATAAACATTTAATCCAACTAAATCAACTATTTGAAATTTAAAACCACTTAAATAGTTTTGGGTCATTGATGGAATACAAATTCATATTAGAGATTATTATAATAACAAGTTGGAGAGAGGAATTTAAAAAAAGATGAAAATATAAATGTGTGATGATAAATAGTAAACCACTTAAAATCTAGGCACATTATATAAACATACCAATAAAATCAATATATCTTTAATGTCAATCAAAGGAAAAATTAAACAGAAGGAACAAAAATTAGACATTAAATTTGAGGAGATATAACTAGTGTAGAGGTGAAATTAAAAATTCAAATCTGTGCTAATGAATTTGAAAATTTCAATGGGATATGGGCAATTTTCAATGAAAATGTTATAAAAAATGCTTTAGGATGAAATACAAAGTCTGAATAGACCATCCAAGAATGAAAGTGTGTAGGAGCCCTTAAGTACCTGCTCTGAATTGCATTTTAGGTGGATGCTATCAAACCTGGAAGCTTCAAATAATTATCTTACTTGGTTGAGGTGTTAGAAAATATGTAAAACTGCCCAGCCGGGAGTGGCTCAGCGGTTGAGTGTCAACCTAGCATCTGGGCGATCGGGGTTCGATTCCTGGTCAGGGCACATGCCCGGGTTGTGGGCTCGATCAATTACTCTCTCATCATTGATGTTTCTATCTCTCCCTCTCCTTTCCTCTCTCTGAAATCAATAAAGATATATTAAAAAAAAAAAAGAAAATATGTAAAACTTCCCAGCTTGCATAGTCCTTCTACCTTAATCTGAAAGGGTTAGCATATTACAAAGGCTAGAAAGTATAATATGGGGGAAATAGTTCACCTAAAGAAAGAGTACATGCAAGGGAGTGGTAAGTGATATTCTCACTGAATAGTTTCCTCTTGCTCTCATCACTTTCTACACAACTATACTTAACACACAGTTTAAGTCTCCAGTATTATTATTGACACCATAGTAAATTTTTCTAAAGTCACGTTGTGTAATAGGAAAAGAAATGTTAGATAAATGCCCTTGTGCCTCATTATTCAGCATCATTAGTGAATGTATTTCTGCACACATAAGATTTTTTTCTTTAGATAAATCAGGGTCACCGAGTTATATATTTTTTTAGCATTTGTAATACTTAAATTTTCTAAAACATTACATATTTCCTGGTTTCTTCAACAAAGCGATGTATGTAGATTAGGGACTTCTAAGTACCTGTGTTACTGGATTAGTGCATAAATTTATGTCAGCTACATACTCATGTTTCTGTTGGGCTCTAAGGCCAGCATCACGCTTTTGTCTAGTTTGCTGAATCATACGTTTTTGCCTGGAAAATAAGTAGCCAAGTTTGTGAAGAATTGTGTGTTTAATAAGAGTCCATAAGTCCTTGTGGGGAGCAGTATGTATAAAGAGCACAGCTGTAGTGCAGAGGCCTTTGACAGTTATTTTGGATATGTAGTTGCCTTTGCTTTTTGGGTTCATGGGTCAGAGCATTGTTGTGACCATTGAATAAATGGGGGTGCTGTGGTGTTATAATTGTATTTTAAGGGAGATAAGATATTTTGATATTTTCTTTTGTATTGATGTTCCTCTGATTTACTCTTATTATTGAGCTGGATTTAAATAGTAATCATTTAAGGTCAAATTTCTAATGTATATATGTTCCTCAATGGGTACAACCCAGTACCACAACAATTTAAGTGAAATAACTATAATGGAACTTTTCTTTTGAATTTGGCTTTTCTCTTTTTCTGTCCACCAGGGAGTAACTATTCCCAGTCAGAGGCGCTATGTGTATTATTATAGCTACCTGTTAAAGAATCATCTGGATTATAGACCAGTGGCACTGTTGTTTCACAAGATGATGTTTGAAACTATTCCAATGTTCAGTGGCGGAACCTGCAGTAAGTGCTCTAAATTCTCATTCATCCATGTATTGGAACACTTTTCTTAACATATGTAGAAGTTTCTACAAAAACCTAGAAAAAAATTTATCATGCTTAAAATTTATGCAGGAGTATATATATTTCTGAAGCATCCATGCTGATTAATTAGCTCAGTTGTTTAGTGCATTGGGCTAAGGAAGCCAAGAGCAATGTGTTTTAATGTCTTTGAAGCCAAATTTCATTACCAAATGCAGCCTAAGTTCTGATTAGATGACTAAAAATCTGTCCCATCACATCCAGCATGAGAGTAGCAGTAGGATTCATCAGTTTACTGGGACCAATTCCTTCATATCTTAGGGAAGACCAGATATCAATAGTGATAGTAACAGGGACAATAAAGAGGAAAAGAAAAAGTGATTAAGACATGGTGACAGGCTAAAGTATATTGACGAAATAGGGTTGAATCAAAGGGTGTCGAAAACCTGGACTTAGATTCAAGTATTTAGATGCATTTTCATAGTTTCTAGATAAAATATCAGCACATTATTTCTTTTAATACTTCTAATTTCAGTGATATTTTGCCATTCATTAGTGGTTTTAGTTTTTAGCTTTAAGTTTTGCTTCTTGAAAATATTTATGTAATTTAAAGCAATTTCTACCCCTAAATTAATTTATACCTAGGAAATAAATTTCTTGATGTTGTTTATCTTTGTCAGATAGGTGTGATCACCTTCATCAGATATTTCCTGTATTCTTAGAGCAAGGCAACTTTATCAAAGACCACAGTTTTATTAATATAGGATGTTAAAGGCTTCTAAGGTACTTCTTTGATCCTCTTGTCATCTCAGTACAATTTAAAAGGCTGCTGGGGTGCAAGGCACTGAGCTGTCAGAGGTGATTGACATAGGAGCTTAACAGATTCATAGAGGAGAGGGAAAAAGGAAGAAAAACTCACTCATTTCCTATAGTATAGATACCAGTATACGCACCTAAAGAAAGATATAAAATATTAGAGAAATAATAAGGGAAAGAAGAGAACATTCAGTTCAGTAATCTTACCTTGTGTAATTCTTCTCATTTTGGCCTCTCTAAAAAAATCTCATCAGTTCTGTTCTGCTTGCCTACCTTTAAATATTGTATTGTTTTGTTTTTTGTTTTAGTCTCAGTGTTACATTCATACTGACTACTGAAATATTTTTCATCTTTACTAATTTTCTATGCACGCTGATTTAATACTATATAGTAAAGCTGTATATAAGTAATATAATTAAGTGGGTGGTTGTATGTATAAATTTTATTTTATTTTTATTTATTTATTTTTTGTATGTATAAATTTTAAATGGTATGAAAAAGTTTTGGGGGTTTGTCAGATAGTTTCATGAAGGAAATCCAGCTCTTTATTGAACACTGGGGAAAGCGTACAGTTTAGATTGGCATTAAAACTGAAGGAAGTATTACAGGCAATAGGAAATAGCTTGAATTGAAGCGCAGCAGAAGGAAATGAGCTGGACAAGAAATGTACAGACAGAGAATAGAATAGGAATGGAATGCGTGGCTGACTGTTAGAGGACCCTGAATGGGGATTTCAGACTTGATATGATAAATCTGACGGTGTCTGTGATAATGCTAGAGGCTTAAACTGTGTTTTAAGTACATTTGTGTAGAAAGTGGTAATAGCAAGAGGAAAAAAATGGTGGAAAGGAAACCAGTTTATGTCACTTTGCTCGGGCAATCAAATGGAATTAGCTTATTTTTTCTTTTGCCATTTCTATTTGAAGATTTTGTCAAAAGTTTCTGTTCTGGTCAGATGAATAATTCACTGAAAAGGGAGGAAAGAAAAGTGAATCTGAGCGGGAGACATGAATGTTGATATTTTGGTTTTAAACATGTTTTAATTCAAGTGAAGGTGAGCTGTTCACATGAAGATAGATATTCAGTGAGTACTTGAAAATATGGTCCTGAATCTTTATATGAGAGATATATCAGACATTTTGGGAAGCATCAGGAAGAAACATAGTGGTTAAGACTTTCAGTTAAATGTGGAGTGCCGCTCTAGGATGCGAAGGCTCGGAGGGAAATGGTGAGGACTGAGACAAGGGGAGTTGCAACAATTTGGTTTCAGGAGCGATAAGAGGAATCAGTGAAGAAAACAAAACTTGTGGTGAAAGTAGTGTCTTCTGCAAAGCTGTTGGGGATTAACAGTTTTTTTCTTATTTGATTATTGTCTTAATATTTCTAAATAAATGAAAACTTAACTATATTCTATATATCTTAAAGGGTTAAAAATGTTAATAAGAGATGATCACTGATTTTCTCTCAGTACTATCTCAATATACATATATCCAAGAAAACTTAATTCTGATTTTTTTACTGGGTTATCAATCTTTAGAAAACAGTCATATCAAAGAATATATATCAGAATTGTGTCTTAGGAGTTGACAGAGCCATACTAATTTTGGACTTGTCTTATCTGTCTAAAATGTGAAATTCATATCATAAAAACATTATTTTCTTTAGTGATTTGAGGAAATCTTTTTCACCTAATTTTATTACAACTTTTTAGCTTAGTTTTTGAGGGAAATTCTAAGTAACACTGGTTTGTAATTAGCTTATTGGTTATAATTCTAAAATTCACACATTTTAGATGAATTCTGACTTAGATAGTTAATTTGCTTTTTAAAGGTCTAAAATCAGGATTATGGAATTAGTGGAGTTAGAATTAATAAGGTTACAAAGCATTTTTATTCCAGTAGATTTTTATTCTTAGCTTTGAAATCATACCTTGTTTGTTTCTTTTTCAAGCTAGACTTCCCAGTAAAATTTATCTTGTAAAATGGCTCATTGTACTTTGAATCCTTAGTCAAGGAAGTGAAAATTATTGACAGATTCTTAGTGTAATATTTCCCACTTTTAGAGCGCCTTTTTCTCAGGATAAATGACATACAAATTCAAATTAGAATAATCCCACATGCTATGATCAGTCCTACTATTTATTATGTGATTGCTGATACTGCTCTAAATATTGTATAGATGAGCCAGTAGATGTTTATTAAACTGGGAAATTCCTTTAGCTTGGATAGGCATTTTGCCTTGTTCTTAGTTGTTGTCCTATTGATAAAGAATGTATTACTTTATATGTATATATGTACACATATCTATTTCTCATGCACTTTATACAAGGTTGCTTTTATTTCTGGATCATCTTGGCATGTTTCCTTCAAAACTCACTTCTAACCCTTCTAAGGCTCATCACTTTCTTTTCAGTGCACTTGTTTTTGAACTCATTTTACTACAAATGAATTTTACTTTGTCATATTACTTAGGTAACTTAAAGTTTTTAAAGTCCTAGAATCTTCACATTCTTGTCTTTAATTTCCATCATAATGTCATTAGGTATACATGTATTTATGAGTAGATTAAAAAAATAAAAACATATAATTCTTCCCTTTCCACACTTTACTACCTTTTAGTTGCATTGCTAATACATAAGCATGATACATTTTGAGAGGTCATATTTTAGCAGTTATTTTAAAAGACAAAGGCCAAAACTAAAATACATATTAATGAATATGGAGCATGTTTTAGAGGGGGGTGGAGGGTGCACTACAATTTGTACTTGATGTCTGTTGCATTTCTTTGCAGACATTTCAAATCCTTTTCTTCCTGTTTCTCGTCATGGTGGCTTTATATACCTTTAAAAATAAAATGTGAACTATAGGTAAAATTAATGATGGTTAATATTTTTATAAATATGGAGACTTATGTTTATGGAATTTAGTATAACCTTTGTTATAGAGTATATTTTCTTCTCTCTTGTAAATGTGTAATGATTTGTATTTTGTGGATTCTGTTACATGGTAGAGACTTTAAAGTACTGCAGCAAAATAACTTTTAAAAGTTACCTTTTATGCAGTTCATAACTGAGCCAGAAAATTATTTTAAGCACTTTAATGCTTAAAATAATTTATATTACATTTTTAACATCATTTTAATGTTAAAGTTTTTGTTACTATATTGCTAGAAGTCGAATCTTGGGACTTACTATTTATGAAGTAGAATTGACTTTCATATCAGTAATAGAACCTTATGTTGAAGGTTCAGATTAGGGAAAATCTTGTATTGATTACATTTTTTTTACCTAATTTCTTTTTATTGATTTGTTTTAGATCAGGGTTATAAAAGCAGAATTACTATTTTGTATATTGCTAATATTAATAATTAAAATAGTTTTTGGCAGTTTGATAGTTAAAGGCATTTCCTGTGAAATGATGCTTATGTGTATTTAACCACACAGATCCTCATTTTGTGGTCTGCCAGCTAAAAGTGAAGATATATTCCTCCAATTCAGGACCCACACGACGGGAAGACAAGTTCATGTACTTTGAGTTCCCTCAGCCATTGCCTGTGTGTGGTGACATCAAAGTAGAGTTCTTCCATAAACAGAACAAGCTAAAAAAGGTTTGCCCTTTACTTTTATTGGGAAAAATATTCAAAATAGCTGTATCTTGAATAGTCTTTTGTGTAAAGCATTTGGTTAGGCAGAAATCAATCTGTAAAGAGAGATTAAAAGGTTTATTTTATTTTATGACTGATACCTAATGAGTTATAATTGGTTTTCTGTTAGATTTGCACATGCATTGCTTACTATGGCATTAATGAGCCATTATAATGGTAAATAATCCTGTTAGAAGGAAAAGGTCCTATGACCTTTTAAAATCATATGTAATTTGAGATGAATTTTCTTTAACTTGAGTTACACAAAGAAATTTTTAAAAAATATTAAAGATTATATGCATACTCCATGAAATCAGTTATAATCCTCTTCAAAGGGGTGATTAATTACCTGAGAAGAAGTTAGCATGAGACCTTCAAATAAATTTGGTGTGTGTACAAATAAGATTTGTTTCATGATCTTGTGTAATGACACAAACAGCTTTCCCCCATTTTGGTTTATGTTTCTTACAACTGGGTCATTTTATATTTAGCTTCCTCAAATTTACTATTTTAATTTTTAGCTAGGAGAGAAATAGGTATGAAGAGGAAGTAATAAAGAATGAAAAAAAAAAAGTGGTATTATTTAAATATACAGGTTTAGAAAACAGGTTTGCATGTTATTGAGCTATATTTAGAAAATGTAAGAGCTCATTTTAAAGGAAACTCTCTTAGTTTTAAAATATTGTACGTGAACATTTAAGATGAACCTAGTGTACAAAATTTTTAAGTGGTGATGAACAAAAACAGTAGCTTTTGTATACTGTTACTGCCTCGTTAAACATACTAGAGAGCATATTGCCAATTTTTAGGTATTTTCAGTAACAGGATTGATTTAGTTTTCTTGGTTTTTAGCCTTTTTTTAAGAAAATAAGAGGAAGTTTCATTTACTACAAAAATTTTAAACTCTACTTTGACTTATTAGAAGAAATATAATTTCCTTTATTTAGAATTCAAGTAATTAGGAAATCACAAAATGTTAAACTGATTTTTTTCACCAGAAACCCATTTCTTACCAGTTCTATATAAATATATCTCAATATCTTCAAAAATTATTTTTAATAATCCAAGAAGTGTTAGCAAATGTTCTAAAATTAAGGTAGTTCTTTTCTATTCATTGTAAGACAAGTATACTTAAAATTTTATATTTTGCTTTTAAAAACAGGCACTTGAATCACTATTTTCTTGTACCTTTAGGAGTGTGCTAATTCTTATTTCAGTTATTATCACCTGTGCATTACATTAACACATGTAAAATTGAAGATTAGATTAAATATTTATAATATATGTGTATCTTAAATTACTTACATACATTTCTATTTTACGTGATTATTCCCTTCCTGTTATAAATGTTTGCAATGATTTAAACAAAAACAAGTTTAGTATAATCAGTAGACAGACATTATATATTTGTATAATGTGTGTGTGTGTATATATATAAAATATGGAATCCACATCTTTGGAAATTTAAATATTACTGGCTTATTTTCTGACTCAAGTAAAATATGTGTGTAGTTACTAATTCAGTGACTTTGCTAAAATAATTAAAATTGAATATTTTTAAAAAGGCATTGCTAGGTACTGTTAAAAGATACAAAGACATTTAAGATATAAGATACTTAAGGGTCTTACCATCTTCCTGAAAATGTCGGGGGGAATAACTTAAAGATAAATTAGAATAAAATATTTAAATGGCAATACAGACACCAAATAAGGTGTCACAAGGCTGTACATCATAAATTGTCAAATGATCCATGCAAAACAAACTCTAGTAAGAGAGAGAACATTTTCTTTGTTTTCAAGAAAGGTTTGAAGTGATGAACTTCTGATGTTTTTGATAATTAGACCTCATATTATTAGTAAGTGATTCTTTAAAAATAGGCATTTTATAACATAGAAGTCAGAAATACTTACCCTCTCCCCCTCCCACTCCGTATTTTATTATGAATATTTTGCAAATATTCATTGTTATTTAAGAAACTAGAGCTGCTTAATATTGCTTGTATTGTATTGCTTATAGCAGTAAAAATGTATCTGCCTTGCTTCATTGGGAAATTGTACTTGATATTTCAAGAACTTTTGTTAAAGTAAATTTTGTAATGGCTTATTGAAACAAAATCAAATCCATTTCTGAATTTTTTAATATATACATACATATAAACTCAAAAGATTTTTTAAAAGCTAATATTAGACTAGAAAGGAGATATTTTAAGGTTTTAAAGCAAAAGTAAGTTATCTTAGAATTGTGGAATTACATTTTTGCTTTAAAATTTAAAGAACACGCCTGGCCGGGTGTGGCTCAGCGGTTGAGCATCGACCTAGGATCCAGGCGATTGGGGTTCGATTCCCGGTCAGGGCACATGCCTGGGTTGTGGGCTCGATCAATGACTCTCTCATCATTGATGTTTCTGTCTCTCTCTCTCCTTCTCCTTTCCTCTCTCTGAAATCAATAAAGATGTATTTAAAAATAAATAAATAAATAAATAAAAATAAAATTTAAAGAACAAAAAAATCATATGTGAATTAGGTGCAACAGGCAGCCCACAGATTGCTAAGTATTAGTCTTTGTGTTTACCTTTATTCAAAATATTAAATGACACATGGCTTATGTTGTTGACTTCTTGTGGCAGATGTTGAATATAGGTAACATTTTCTTTTTAAAATATGTCATTTTTATTTTTTAGGACAAAATGTTTCATTTTTGGGTAAATACATTCTTCATACCAGGACCAGAGGAAACCTCAGAAAAAGTAGAAAATGGAAGTCTATGTGATCAAGAAATTGATAATATTTGCAGTATAGAACGAGCAGATAATGACAAGGAATATCTAGTACTCACTTTAACAAAAAATGATCTCGACAAAGCAAATAAAGACAAGGCCAATCGATACTTTTCTCCAAATTTTAAGGTCAGTTAAAACCATTTTGAGGAGTTGGTGGGTGGCTGTGTGTGTGTGTGTGTGTGTGTGTGTGTGTGTGTGTGTGTGTGTGTTTGTTGTGGTTATATGTTTAGTGAAGGCCTTACTTGACTAATTTTTAAGTTAAATTATTATTTAGAATTAATACTTATGTAGCAGCAATCTGATAGTTTCTAACAAAATCTAGGATGTACAAAAAATTATGAGAGCTGCACTTCCCTTATTTTATTCTTTGTTGTTTGGTGAAATTTGAAGCAGATATTGGGGACAAGTTAGGTTAGAGGGAGATGGAGGAGAAATGGGGGAAGAAAGGTAGATGAGAATTCAGTCCTTTGGGAATGATTCATATGGCACCTTCTTCCTGGTTGTACTCCTGTACCCCTCCAGCTCATTCTCAGTCCCTCAGAGTGATCTCAAAATGAGACTTGATTGTGTCCCTCCTGTTTACACTTTTTGAAGATGTTGTGGTCTTTGATGTGCCCTACAAGGACCTGCATAATTTAGCACAGGCCTACCTCCTACATCAACTCGAGACACATTCTCTCTCTCTCCCTGTTCCCTGAAACTTCACCCATATTGGTTTCTCTTCATTTCTTCAAAATGCTAAGCTCTTTTGAGTCTGGTCTTTCCAGTTCTTTCCCTTCTTGTACCTTTCCATCCTCAGCCTTTTCCCTGCCCTTCCCGTGGATACTCGTCTCAGCCTTAGTCTTATCTTCAATTTTACGAGGCCTGAAAAGCCTTTGACCATCCTTCCCTGTTATCTCCTTTCTGAAACGGTTTCCTCTTAGTATGGAATTACTTGGTTTGTTTTAATTTCATCTGTAATGTGCTCTGTGTGTGTGTGTGTTTCTGTTTCTGTGTATAGGTAAGAATTCTCCAGGTTCCCAAATGGAGGTTTGACAGTTTTTTCTTTCTCTTCCTGTTTCGTACTCTTTTTAACTTCTTCCTCTTACTTTCACCACACCTCCTCCTTTCTCTTTCTAAAAATTCTCTTACCTTTTTTCTTCATTCCATTTTTATAATATAACAAATGTAACCATAGCTTATAAGCATAAGAATATTGCCAGTAATAATAAAAATAAAGGGGGGGTTACATGTTTTAAGTGAAAATAGATCCAATATTAAGTACCTTTAGGTCTTATATTTCTTTTAAGTGTTTAGAAGTAAGTGTCTTTTAGAATCCACAGGTTTCTGTTTAATTTCTTTAAGTCCGCATTTTTCTCAATCACTAGCTTTTAAAGTTTGACTTCCTCTAGTTTTATTGTTTTCTGTTTTAATGTTACAAAATATTTTATATTTGTGATTACAAATAACCATTTTAATTATCAGTGAACAAATATAATATCACATGATGGTAAGTGCTACAAAAAAATAAAGCAGAGATGTGATAGAGAGTGATCTTGGTGTTTTTTTTTTAGCTGGATGGTTAGAGAAGGTCTCCCCAAGCAGGAGACATTTAATTAGAGGCCTAAATGAAATGAGTGAGCTATACAAGTATCTGAGAAAAGAGGGACGAGCAGGTGCAGAAGCCCTGAGACAGGAATGAGCTTGCACAAATAATAATTTTTGAGAATTGATAGATAAGAAGTCATTTTGACTAAAACACTAGTCTGAGTGTGAAGACAGTATTTTCAGCATACGACAGATGTCATTTGAATGTTTTCTTTAAAAGTTCACTCTGTCCACTTTAATATATAGACTTGAGAGGAAAGTATAGGGAGAGGAGATAAGAATGGAAGCTTGAGAGATTAGTTAAAAGGGTGTTGCAGTGGTTTAGTTCAGATGAGAAATGGTGGTTGCTTGGACTAGAGTAGTGGCAGCAAGGGGTAATGAGAAGCCCTCAGATTAGGTATACGGTTGACTCCTGAGTGACATGGGTTTGAACTGTGCAGATCTACTTATATGCGGGTGTTTTCAATAAATATATAGTTGGCTCTCCTTAACCCCGAGTTTTGCATCCACAGATTCAACCAACAGAGGCCAACTGTATGTATTGTTTTATGCCATTTTATATGAGGGACTTGAGCATCCACAGATTTGGGTATCTACAGGGGGCGTCCTGGAACCAGTCGCTGATGGGTACCAGGGGATAGCTGTAGTTAAGTTTTTGGGGGTCGAAAGTTATACGTGGATTTTCGACTGCGCAGGGGTTGGTGCTCCTAACCCCTGTGCTGTTCCAGGATCAGCTGTTTATGGTATTTTAAAGGTAGAACTAAAAGAATTACTGATGGAGTGAATGTTGGATCTAAGAGAAGAATAATTGATGATGACTCTTGGATAATGTGGGGAGGGGCTGTAGGTATAATAGAATGAGCAAGGGATTCTAAGTCAGATCTAATTTAAATCTCATGTCTAGTACTTACTAGATATGTGACCTTCAACAGGTTACCTAACCTTCCTGGGCCTTAGCTTCCTCTCCTTTAGAATGGAACTACATGTCTTGTAGAGCAGTTTTGACAGTTACTTCTGCTAAGTCTGTAAGGGCCCTTGGTCCATTTAGACCAGCGTCTGATGTTAAGTTTCTCCTTTTTTCTTCCTTCAGTGGAAGTTTTTAGGCCTAATGGTATCTTAAACATCATTGTTGATCAGTATTTTATATAGTATAATACTTGTATTTGTTTAGTATTGTTTGTATCAGAGAATACATAGATTTTCAGATAGGTAGTAAGTGAAACATTCTTTTAGAATTCTACTATTAGTGAATTGAATTTTGTGATTGAAAATATATTATGTGAACTATTGATGAACTTCAGTCTCAGTGTATTTGTTTTGTATATTTAGTTAATGCATGGAGCTTATGCTTATTAAAAAATATATTAATATATTAACATCCCAGTTTATCTTTTCAGCATATAAGAAAGAGAATGTAGGAAATTTTCAGAAGGGGGTCATTTAAAAGGCAGCTGCCTTTTAAAGATTATGTTTGTCATAGTACTTAAAAATGAATCTGCTAAAAATATATATGGTAAGTAATTTAAGATTAGTCTGATTTATGGGTTTTCTATTTAAACTTTCTCTTTTTTTTCTCTAGGTGAAGCTGTATTTTACAAAAACAGTAGAAGAGCCATCAAATCCAGAGGCTAGCAGTTCAACTTCTGTAACACCAGATGTTAGTGACAATGAACCTGATCATTATAGGTATTCTGACACCACTGACTCTGATCCAGAGAACGAACCTTTTGATGAAGATCAGCATACACAAATTACGAAAGTCTGAATTTTTTTTTTTTTTATCAAGAGGGAAAAACACCATGAAAACAAACTTGAATAAACTGAAAATGGACCTTTTTTTTTTTTTTTTTTTTTTTAAATGGCAATAGGACATTGTGTCAGATTACCAGTTATAGGAACAATTCTCTTTTCCTGACCAATCTTGTTTTACCCTATACATCCACAGGGTTTTGACACTTGTTGTCCAGTTGAAAAAAGGTTGTGTAGCTGTGTCATGTATATACCTTTTTGTGTCAAAAGGACATTTAAAATTCAATTAGGATAAATAAAAATGGCACTTTCCCATTTTATTCCAGTTTTATAAAAAGTGGAGACAGACTGATGTGTATACGTAGGAATTTCTCATTTTGTGTTCTGTCACCAACGGAAGTGGCTAAAAAGCTTTGTGATGATACACAGGTTCACATCCTACCCCTTTGCACTTGTGGCAACAGATAAGTTTGCAGTTGGCTGGAGGAGTTTCTAAAGGGTTTTGCTACATTCTAATGCATGTATTTGGGTTAGGGGAATGGAGGGAATGCTCAGAAAGGAATATATTTTATGCTGGACTCTGGACCATATAACATCTCCAGCTATTTACACGCACCTTTCTTTAGCATGCTACAGTTATTAATCTGGATATTTGAGGAATTGGCCGCTGTCACTGCTTGTTGTTTGTGCATTTTATTATTTTTTTAAAGCATATTGGTGCTAGAAAAGGCAGCTAGAGGGAGTGAATCTGTATTGGGGTACAGGAATGAACCTTCCACAACATCTTAAGAATCCACAAATGAAGGGATATAAAAATAATGTGGTCATGGATAAGAAACACAGCAACAATGACTTAACCATTAAATGTGGAGGCTATCAACAAAGAATGGGCTTGAAACATTATAAAAATTGACAATGATTTATTAAACATGTTTTCTCAATTGTAATGACTGCTCCATCTCCTGTGTAATCAAGGCCAGTGCTAAAAGTCAGATGCTGTTATTACCCACATCAGTCAACAACTTACACATATTTTATTAGTTTTCAGTCATATACCTGCTGTGGATGCTTCATGTGCTGCCTGCAAGCTTCTTTTTTCTCATTAAATATAAAATATTTTGTAATGCTGCACAGGAAATTTCAATTTGAGATTCTACAGTAAGCAGTTTTTTTTCTTTAAAGATTTATGATGCACTTATTCAATCCAATAGCTGTCAGCCGTTCCACCCTTTTGACCTTACACATTCTATTACAATGAGTTTTGCAGTTTTGCACATTTTTTAAATGTCATTAACTGTTAGGGAATTTTACTTGAATACTGAATACATATAATGTTTATATTTAAAAGGACATTATTTGTGTTAAAAAGGAAATTAGAGTTGCAGTAAATTTCAACACTGCACAAATAATAAGGCATTTACTTTTTCAGTAGAAATTGTCCCACATAATGCTTTTAACGATTTGCTATTGAAAGAATAGATTTTTTTTTAAATGTGCAGTGTTGAATTATTTCTTCATAGTGCTAGAGTTAGGACTAGGGCTTCTTTTTCACTTCTTAAATATCATATATTTGATATGCCCAGACTGCATACAGTTTTAAGCAGAGTACAACTACTATTGTAAAGCTAATGTGAAGATACTATTAAAAAGAATTTTCCCCCAGAAATTTTGGTGTCTTTCACATAGTACCTTGACCTTGAAACATTTGAATATCCAGCCAATTTATTTCTTAATGGTGTAAAATCTCATTTTCAATAACTTATTGGTGCTGAAATTGTTCACTAGCTGTGGTCTGACCTAGTTAATTTACAAGTACAGATTGCATAAGACCTATTAAAGCAGCATTTATAGGATTTGATGGTAAATAGATTAGGCAGAACTTCATCTAAAATGTTCTTAGTAAATTAATGTTGACATGTTTTCCATACCTCGTCAGTTTCATTCAACAAATTAAATTTTTAAATTTTTAACAAAGCTCTTAGGATTTACACATTTCTATTTAAACATTGATATATAGAGAATTGATTGACTGCTCATAAATTAAATTGGTAAGGTTAGAGACAACTATTCCTAAGATCTCACCATTGAAATTTATATGCCACCTTGTCTTTCGTAAAAGCTGAAAAGTGTTGACAGTTGAAAATCAACCATTGATGTTTTGAAGATAGTTATTAATACTGTTATTTGTTACAGTTTTGGGCACAGTATATTAAAACATAATTTGTATTGTTCCGATATGTAACATGGAGGGCCAGGTCATAAATAATGACATTATAATGGGCTTTTGCACTGTTATTATTTTTCCTTTGGAATGTGAAGGTCTGAATGAGGGTTTTGATTTTGAATGTTTCAATGTTTTTGAGAAGCCTTGCTTACATTTTATGGTGTAGTCATTGGAAATGGAAAAATGGCATTTTATATATATATTATATATATATAAATATATATTATACATACTACTCTCCTTTATTTCAGTTACCATCCCCATAGAATTTGACAAGAATTGCTATTGACTGAAAGTTTTCAAGTCCTAATTAAAACTTTATTTATGACAGTATTCATAATTAGCCTAAAATGCATTCTGTAGGTAATCTCTGAGTTTCTGGAATGTTTTCATAGACTTTTTGGATGTGCAGCCGCTTACATGTCTGAAGTTACTTGAAGGCATCTCTTTTAAGAAAGCTTACAACTGGGCCCTGTACCATCCCAAGTCCTCTGTAGCTCCTCTTGAACATTTTTGCCATAATTATTAAAGGGTAGTTGAATAAATAGCATCACCATTCTTTGCTGTGGCACAGGTTATAAACTTAAGTGGAGTTTACCGGCAGCATCAAATGTTTCAGCTTTAAAAAAATAAAAGTAGGGTACAAGTTACATGTTTAGTTCTAGAAAATTTGTGCAATATGTTTATAACGATGGCTGTGGTTGCCACAAAGTGCCTCGTTTACCTTTAAATACTGTTAATGTGTCATGCATGCAGATGGAAGGGGTGGAACTGTGCACTAAAGTGGGGGGCTTTCACTGCAGTGTTTGGCAGAGTTGCCTTCTACCCTGCCAGTTCAAAAGTTCAATCTGTTTTCATATAGAATATATATACTAAAAAATTTCAGTCTGTTAAACAGCCTTACTCTGATTCAGCCTCTTCAGATACTCTTGTGCTGTGCAGCAGTGGCTCTGTGTGTAAATGCTATGCACTGAGGATACACAAAAAATATGTGTACAGAACAATGCCTCATACCAATCAGATGTCCATTTGTTATTGTGTTTGTTAACAACCCTTTATCTTTAGTGTTATAAACTCCACTTAAAACTGATTAAAGTCTCATTCTTGTCATTGTGTGGGTGTTTTATTAAATCAGAGTATAACTTAAATTGCTTAAATTAATTGAAATTTTAAATAATGGGCAGCCTAATGTGATTAATAAGCTTCCTATAAGTTTTTTTTTTTCCTGCTGTCCTTCACAGTCTATTAAAACATGGGCTTTGTCAGCTTGGGAGTAGAGTATCAGTCTACTCGTGTTTGAGAAAGGCACTTTTTAGGACTTTAGTCAACACTTAATTGTTCCAAGCACATTACATAACATTCTAATCTTGAAAAACTTCAAGATTCTTGAAAAATTGTTTTTTTGTGTTTTTTTTTTTTAGCTAAGCCAGATGTCTGCAGATAATTCCCCAGAACGGAATTGATACTTCAGATTTCAGTTCGTGGCTTTTTCATTCTTTACGATTCTGTAGTCTGCCATTAACATACGGGAAGCTTCATCTACTCATTGTGACTAGTGCCATTTAAAAACTCATATTCCAGGAGAGTTGAAAGAACTTGGTGTACTTGAATTCAATCTCGTTATTTCTAATAGTCTTAAAAGCTTAGAGACTAAGGCACATCCTTTCAACAGAGCATAGTAATAAGTAAAAGTGTGGCTGAACAAATGTTTTGAAAGTAAAGCAGACCATTTACATAACAGTGGAATTTAATGTTATTTCAAATTTACATTTTTCTCTGACTTTAAAAGTAAATGTGAATAATGTATAATAACATAAGTATGGTTGAAAACTATACTGGAGTCTAAAATTATTCTGATTTATAAGATCTTGGTGGTTTCTGAAAAAGGAATTTACTGGCAATTTTGTTTTTATTCATGCTCTTTCTACAGTGTAATTTGGGCCAGCTTAGTTAAGTGAATGCCATCACCATTTCCATTGAGAATTAAAAGATCACCAGTGTTTAACATGCAGGCTTCCAAAGGCTTACAAAAAAATCAAGACCCTTAAATCTAGTTGATTTGCTGTGAATGCGAAACATTTTTTGTTCTTTTATTCTTTCCAGACAATTAACCACACATCTAAAACTGAGTCTTAAATAGTTTATGTTTTGATCAGAAATGTTTGTGAATGGAAACAGACATTCAGTCTGGACTGGCATAAGGACAGTACCTAAAAATTAGTGTAAAGGGTAATAGAGAAAAATATTTTAAACCTTTTAAAGATGAAATGTTAGAGACTGATTTTCCTATGGAATTATAGCTATAGGAAGCCTGATGATGAAGTTGCTTGTCAGTTGTTTTCAGTTCTAGAGCAAATTCTTCTGTAGCCATGATGTTGCTGTTCTTCCATCTTTCAAGAGACCTTAACAAGCGTATCAGCATGTAGGTAGCCGCTTTGACAAGTTCATATTGGTTGGCAGCTTTAAAAGTTCATCATGTGAAAACAGGAGAGGACGAAATAGTTTCGTTGGTGGTAAAACATTTGATTCTTAAATTAGTTATTTTGAGAATACTTTCCCATAGCTACAGCAAAATAATCACTCATAATCCTACCACCTGGAGACAGCCATTAATGCATTAGTGACTATACAATCATTTTTTCTGTATGTATGTTTTCAGAAATGAGATTTGTACTGTGCATACTTCTCAAAGCCTTTAAGCTAGTATTTCTGTCAGGTTTGTAGAATGTGCAGTTGCATCAGGAAACGGAAAGAGGCCTGATTCTTTCTAATGCTGCAGATGCAAATTATGTGCAGTTACTGAGAGCGCTTTCCGATTGAGTTAATCACGAGTGTTCAGATATTGTTGGCGTCAGGATGATACGTGTCCAAGTAGATGAAACAGTTACATGTACTTAGCGTACACAACCTTAACACTGTAGGTATTTCTCTTTAAACACCATTTCAAACATTTGCATTTTGGGATTATATGTTAAATAGATAAACGGGAATATTTTAAACACTATTTTAGTAGTTATCTTCATCACCTATTTCCTTTATAGGTGGCAAAAGAAGAATAAGATTTTCAGTTTCTGTGATTCCCAAAACAGTTGCTTAATTTACAGTGAGTTATTTTAACACCTTAAAAACAAAAAAAACAAAAGCTACTGCTGGTTTATCACTTTGTTGTCTTTAAATCTGTGTGCTCCTGTGACTTCCATCACATTGAAAACAATATTTCATGAATATTTCACTTTTAGCTCTGGAACTTACTATATTTAGTATAATGGTGGGCTTATACCAGAACATACAACTCTTGACAGTTATTTGAGAATTTTGGTGAAAAACAATTTAGCTGGAGGGCAGTACATAACTTATAAGCCAATGTACTGATATTTTTAGAACACTTTTACATAAATAAAGTGAAGTCAGCTGCCATCTTTGAGCATTACCACATTTTAAAATAAAGCTGCATATTTTTTAATGAAGTGTTAAGGATTTATATTTTTTTAACTTAAAAATAATTTATTTCTCTTTTGTTTCATGTGGATTGTGGATTTTCATTTGTCCTTAAAATGGTTAGAGATTTTGTTTTGTGGAATAGAGCAAGGCTTGTGTCATGACTCTAGCGTTTCAGTTTGTGAAATCTGTTTACTATAGTGATATTCTTAAAATGTTTAGGCGTAACTTTCTATAGCCTGTCATTTATTGGCTTTTATTTATGTTCACCTTTAGGATTTTCTGCCTACTGTCTACAGTTCTCCAAATGATATCCCACGTTTACAAATCCTTCTTCAGTTTCTATTTTCTTTTACTACTTAAATTGCCCTAGTGGGCAGTTTTTAAGTGTGTGTGAGGGGAAGGGGTGAGAGAGAGGGAGAGAGAGAATGTATGTGTGCTAGACTCCAACTTTAGAAATTAAAATAGTTTGATTCAGGCAAACAGTTCTCACTGGAAGTTCACAGTTCTTTGTAATAAAAATGTTAACCCTGGATGACCTTTGACATACAGTAATGAATCTTGAATATTATTAATGGGTTTGTTAGCATCTTGATGTGTGCATTCATGAGTTATTTTCAAAGTTGTAAATTTAACCAAAGTTGGTGTATTTGGAAATGTTTATATCAAGTTCCATTTGGCTACTGATGGACATAAAAAAATAGAAATGCTTTCTTATGGAGAGTATTTTTTCTTTAACAAGTTAAAAGGATAATTATTTTGAATAATTGGCTTTAAACTTTTTATTCAGCAAGTATTTATCAAGTTCCTGCTCTATATAACAGAGGCTTGGAGTCTATTAGTAATCAAGACAGATACCCTTTCTTGCCCTTGAGGAGTTTCTATTCTAGTAGAGGAAACGAACTTTATTAAAATAATTTTAAATTGTGATACATGCTGTGAAATATGAGTTGCATATGTTACAGTAATTATCACCAAACATTCCATATGCTTTCTTAAATTTCCACCTCCTTGAGGTTAGATGAGGCCATTATAACTAGTTTATTCCGATGAAATATGTGACATTTCTGAGGAAAGGCATTAAAAATAAAATTTCTTGTGCAATCCTGTAGCTTCTTTCTTTCCTTAATGCGGTAACCAGAGATACATGTTGTGTTCAGCATGGGTCTTGAGTGACTATTTGGAGAACTCCCTCAAATCTTTTCCCTGCATCGAATGTGTTAGACATTAGCACGAGCAAGAAATAATTTACACTGATATTCTGGAATAGTGTGTTCCCATAGCATAATTATGTTCTGACTAATGCTTTGGAAGGATCAGGGAACGGATTTTTTGAGCAACCAACAGGGAGGTAAGAATGAAGGGAAACAAAAAGTGACATCTGTAAACAACGTGATGCAATAAAGAAGCTAAATTACAAGTCACTCAGTAGTTGTTGAGATGCTTGGGATACAAATGGGTGAACAGCAGATCCCTGCCCTCATGGAGCGTACATTCTAGTAAGAGATAATGGGTGACAATTAACATGCCATATAAAAGGTATAAAGTGCTGTGGGGGAGAAAATGTGGAAAAGGGTTCTTGGAGGTGGAGAGATTGCAGTGTTGAATAGGGTAGTCTGGACTAGGCCTCACTGGAAAGGTGAGAATTGAACAGACCCATCCATCAAACAGTGGTAGAATTTTTCATCCTTTGAATCAGCAGGAAGGACTTACTATCCTCTATAAATTTTATTCTTGCCTTTTGCAATTCTATATTAATTCCTGACAAGATAATTATTGGTATATCTAGGGAGAATTTTTAAGAGTATCACCCAAAATAGTCACAATGTTCTAAAATCCCTTTTTCCTAAACTGGTTTGGCAAAACCTATAAAAACAATCTGTTCCTCCTTATTGTCAGAATTCAGTTCATTTTAAAATTTTTCTTACGATTTTATTAAATGTATGTGGTTATATTTTCAAAATACTTGATATGGCTTTTAAAGTTCTGTTACAGCCTTAAACATTTCTGTAAAGCTGAAAGGAAGTGTCATTTATGATTTATTGATGGGAAACAAGTTATAAATTTTGAGTTACTTGAAAAACAAAAGAGGTGAAATTTATGGCCTAGGCTATATGTTTTAATTTTTACCTTATAGGCAGAAACCTCTGGAAAAGTATCAATATCTAAATAGTAAAAGAAATACTTTCTTTGACAAAGAGAGAACCCCCCCCCCTTTTCTACCACATTTTACTATCCAAGAAGTTTAACTTTATGGTCCAGGGAAAGTAGTATAATTCAATTAACTTAATACAATAGAAATTTACAACTCTCAGGGTATGTTTCCTCCTCCCATCAAGGCAGGTACATCTAATTGGGCATGTTTTTGAAAGAAAATGTTAACTATTAGCTTTTAATTCGTAATCTTTAGGATTCTATGTAATTTTAAAGACATTTCACATGTTTTACCATCCCCTTCAAGGTAGGTGATTTTATCTCAGTTTAAACAAAAACAAAGAGTACTTAATAGGGAACTGGATTTGAATCCAGTCTGCTACCTCTTAAACAGAATCAAATTTACAAAGCAAAACCCAAAAGCCTAAACAATTAATGTGTAATGAAGTCATGCCAGTATTCTTTATTACTGACAGAAGAAAAGCAAACTTTAGTACAAGGTTTAAGTCCAGCAAAATTAAAAGCAAAGAAGCATTTAACAATTGTTTGAGTTATAAAAGAAAACAAACAACTCTATCTTGCAAAGTTCTTGACAGGTAAGATGGTTAAGACGTTGGCACATATTTTTATATCAGACTCAGCGTGAGAGCTCTTTTATTTGCTAGCTTAGTGTTAAATCCATTGAATAAACTCGTCCTGTATTGTTGCTTGAACTAGAATACCCAGTTTTAAGTCATTGGTTCTCGGTTAAACAGGCCAACTAGCCACCCAACAAGCATACTGTGGCTTATCTACTGTGCCCAGTTGGAATGACCGTAGTGTAAAGGTCAGGAAAGGTCATAGCACTTACATTTTAGAGTGGGCAAGCAGGTTTTACACGGGCGAGCAAGTGCAACAGTGGCTCGGTGTAGGAACAAACGTGGCCATGTAGGAAACTAGAAGAGAAAGGCTACAGCAGGACAGTGACGGGGAGAGTGGTGGAAGGTAAAATTTGCGAAGTAGGCAGGGGAACTCTGGTTCCAGCCATTGTGGAAGGAAACCACTTAAGCCCATCTCTTCAGCTCATGCAATTAAAAATCTCTGGACCAGCTACAAAAAGCAAGTACCTAAGAACTCTGAAAAGTAAACAGAAGCACCCAGATTGTAAAGGAGAGTCCAGACTTGGCAAAGCAACCTATATGAGGATGTTTCCTTTTTTTTTATTCTCTTTTAATGGCTTTTCCCCAAAGGCGGCCCCACTTGTGAAGCTTCCCGACGGTGGAGAACATGAGAGAAATCCAGCTTACTGGCCAGAAGAACCAGGAAAAGAGTTTCCTGTGGGCTAGAGAACAGGCTGGGAGGGGGAGCGGGGAACTCCTGAAGAGGAGAGAGCTGGAAAGGTGATCCTCTAAAACTCTGTATGAACTTGCACAAATCCTGGCTCACTCCTGAGCAGGCATATGCAGAACAGACCCAGGGAACCACGGCGAAGTCCTAGAAAACGAAACACCGGAACTCCCACTCACAGAAGACACAGCTGGCAGTCTGAGCCTAACTGGATTGTCCGCTTAAGCAAGCAAGCAAGCAAACCCCAAATTTCCCAGAAGATTTTAATTAGGCCCAGAATTGATACAACCTAGTATCCAAAATTACTTAACTAGGAAGAACCAGGAAAATGCGACCAAAGGAAAAAGGCGAGAGATACAGGTCTCAGGATAACCCAGATGTGGAATTATCAAACGTAAAAGCAGTAATTATAATATGCTTCATGAGATAAAGATAAACACACATGAACTGAACGAAAAGATATACTTTTCAGCCAAAGAATAGAAATTATGAAAAGAACCACATGGAAATTTTATAGCAAAGAGGACATGTGCAGTTAAAAATCACTGCATATGCGCAATAGAAAAATAGAAATGACAGAGTCAACAGACTTGAAGATAAATTAATAAATGTCCAATTCTAATGATGACTTGAAAGTCTTAAAGGTGGATGAGGCTTTGAAAAGCAAAATGTATTTGATTTGTAATTAGCTATGGGGAGACTTAATAAGATATTAACTCCAGCACATTTTGGGGGCTCCCTCAGATACATAGGAAGTTTCTGCTGTTTGTCAATTACATTGAGTAAAGAATTAGCATTATTATAGGTCCAACCATGATGATTATGAGAGTTTTCTACTACAGGCTTAATATGTAAAAACATGTTTCAAATGCTCTGTGGCATGCAGTCCAAGGTGAAGTGTGCACTGACAAAGACAAGTTCTCCTATCGGGCCCATTAAGTTGTGTGCCTGCAATAAAAGCAATTTTGAAACATAACAGACTTATCCCTAGATAATTGCCAAGTTCATCCTCACAGCAGTTGCCTGGTAATCTCTTTGTTCGCCTGCTCCTGTTGACTCTTTGATTCAACCTTTGCAGTTGGGCCCAAATACGAATGTTATTACAGAGATGCCATACAGAAATCAACCCATCATGTTTTTCAATTTTGTGACAATAAAAAAGAATGTGTAATGCTGTTAGTGCCTAGAAATATGAGAAATCATTACAGTGAGTTTGGAAAAAAACTGAACTGGTATTATGATTGGAGACACGTCTTTTTGATGAAAGAAGAGAAATTCAAGATTTTAGAATACCTCTCCCATTGTTATGTTAGCACCATATTACTCTTAAAAGGAAATACAAATACTTGGAGTGGCAACTATTTAAGAGTTTAACAAGTGTTGCCATTTAATTCTCATAAGATAGGAAGTACCATTATATCCATCTGATACATGAGGAATTGAGGTATAAAAAGGTTCGATAACTTGTTGAACGTAGCAAAACCAGTAAGTGGTAGAGCCAGAGCTTAAATCCAAGTCAGTCACATTACCAAGCCTAGCCCATTGACTACTGTGTTAGATATGTTACCTCCTGAAACAACTTAAAGAGACCTTCCGTTTTTCTTAAAGAGCATAGTCTTCAAACTGGAAAGGGTAAAACGGTGTAAGAAGCAGTTCTCAAGCTTTTTGGCCTCAGGATTGGTTTACATTCTTAAAATTTACTGAGCACCTCAAAAAGAGCTTTTGTGTGGATTATAACATATTAGAAATTAAGACTTTCCTTATTACCTGACAAATATCTTTCAATCAAAAATAACAATAATAAACTTACTACATATTAACATAAATAACATTTTAATAAAAACAGTTATACTTTCCAAAACAAAAATTTTAGTGATAAGGGTGGCTTTTTAAAATACATTTTTTCTTACCTATGACTTGGCTTAATAGAAAACAGTAGATTCTCATATATCCTTCTGCATTTAATCTGTTGTGACATGTTCCTTGGGTTGTAGCGTATGAGGAAAACATGGCCTTGCACAGATATGTAGTTAGAAAAAGGAGAAGTATTTTAACAGCCCTTTCAGGTAATTGTAGATAATTTTATTTGATGCTACAAAGCTCATCAAGTTATAATTTCTTAACGGTTAGTTGCAATGTGGAATTGGAAACCCTCAATGAACTTGTTGCACTCTGTTTAATTCAAACCCACTGGTTTATCTTGTTCTATGAATGGATTTTTTACCCACTCATGATTTTGTAACATCATCAAGCGTGGGTTATTTGGAAAATATTGGTTCACTAACTTGCGTAGATCTTCCAAATGTTGACATACTTCATTATACAATGAAAAAAAAATCACATTTGTTACTGTCACCCTGAGCTCAGCAGAAAAGTCTTTAAATATTAGGAAGCTGTCAAGTTCACAGTGGGAGACACAAGGTTTTAAAAAATACTAATTTTTACTTAAAAGTTAGAATTTTATTAGTAACAGCAGACACTGTTAGTTGTTTTCCTGAAAGGCTCTCAGTGTTCCCCAGGGGCTGCAGGCCACACTTTGGGGGTCACCAGTATCAGAATTTCAATGGGGAAAAAGCAAGTAAGAGAACATTTGCCTAAAAGGCTCAAACAAATTAATTTTTAGG